TTATGGCTCGCCCGCCTCACGTGAACCGCTCCCCTTACAATCGCCCGAATAGAACAATTGAGTTAAATTACTTTCCCACTACTCATAACTCACATGAACCACACCCAAATAGAACATTTTAGTTCGTTTACATCTTTATTGATCACACACCACAATCCAGTCTCACTTATAAGCATTGATTTACTCAATTACACCTTTATTCACAGATGGACCGACAAAACACTCCTGTTCCTGCACCACGCAAGTCATTGTCGATGTTCCGAGCGAAGGACAGCGGAAAGCAGACACCCAAACCGACTATCGAAGGTGCCGTCTGTGCATGCGATACCATTCGCTGTTGACGTGCCCGGTGTTCACGGCTATGCAGCCTCAACAACGCTTCCTACTGACGAGAGCGCACAATTATTGCACCAATTGCTTGGCGCTGTCGCACCATACAAGCGAATGCACCTCCACAGCGCAATGTCGTGTCTGTGGCCTCCACCACCACACATTCTTCCATCGTAACAACAGTGGCCACCAAGCTGCGCACTCCGCAGCACCTAACGCATCCAACCGCCACCAATCGAAGAAAAAGGCACGCGCGCATCGGCCCCGTCCACCTCGCAATGTCAACACCACACGCACTCGACACCGTTCGTCTACCCCCGCAGCAACGAACAGCCCACCAGTACACCGCCGGAACCTAGTGGCATCCAGAGTGGAGGACCGCACTATACGACGCACAGCAACAGGTTTGCGCACTGCAAACTACCGGGACAAAGTCAGCCAGCTCCTGGTGCAGCAAGCGCTGCGCGCTTTACAAGAATTACAGGAGACACTAGGCGATTAGTTCGCCTAGGGGGGCAGAATGTCTACGCGAGATCAGCAACCACACGTTCCAACCTATAATTAAGAAAAAGGTGTATTTAATTGAACCTATTGTATTTATTTCTTGAATTCTTATACTTACCAATATGTGTTCAAGTTGCAATATGCATTCAGCTGTACGAAGAAGAAATGTAAACAAAGGGCAAAGGGTTGCCGTAGTTGGACGTGTGGCTGCTCAAAAATCCCTCAATACTTGTTAACGGCAGTACTTGTTAATATTGCTGAATAGCGGTTGCCAATCGGCACAGCCATTTTTTTATTGTCACTTCGGTTTTTTAT